AACACTACCTTTTAGAATGAAAATAAAGTTTAGATTTTCCATATGAGTGTATATTCATCTATGGACCTGCCCAGTGTCATAACTATACAACATAATCCAATAGAGAGTGTTTTTAGATATTTAATTTACAGTCTTCTCTGTTAAGATCATTATTTTATCTGATTGCTTGTCACCATTTCTAAACAGCAGATGTTGTGGTCTATTCTAGAATATCTGTCATTCAATAACAAATGCGACATAATATTCTTGATATAGTCATTAACTGTTAATAATTATCCCAAGGCTAAAAAACTCGCATCTATATTAAATAGCCCTCCTAACGGAAATACCACAACTTTCATATTACTTGAAATTAGCCTGGAACTCTTGTGCCAGGATGTGGAATATATAAAGAAGCGTTGTGTCAACAAGTGTCTGATGTATGTATATCATTGAAAGAAACCAAATGGTACAATAGACAGAAATACAAATTTCCGAGGGAGGCTAAGAGGCGCACGTTTCCGGAAAAACTGATGTCACTAATGGGGAGGTCATTACGAAACCTTCATACCTATACTCCTTTTATTCTTTAATCTGTTCTCAAGCAAAGACGTCATAACATAATAATATACATAAAGTGCAAATTTGTAATGGTTTACGAAATCGTCATAAATGATATCCATTAAAACGACAATTTGAAATGAGAACGCATTACACGTCTTTTCCAAAACAAACAAAATATATGGCATTACCCGTTCACTGACTTCAATCTTATATATTATTAGTTTCCTTTTGTAAAATTCATCAAGAAAATAACCCATCTTTCAATAAAATTAGAGTTTATATTGCTATGGGCCATCATAAATGACATGTTTAAGTCTCTATAGAATTATTATATTCAATTTCTGTTCCAATTTAACTGGCGGCGATGAGTATGATTATTTAGTCTTTAAAAAGGGGAACCTGGAGATTTACAATCCTGTTTTATAATTATATGAATTTCAGTATTGACTTTCATCATGTATACAAGAAACTGCCTTAAGCATGCATCTATACTGTTTCGGGGAGTTTAGGTGCAGTTTGTAATGATTGACACATAAGAAACTTTGAAACCAAAAGATTACACGCCAAACTATTAGTTTCTAATTTTGTAAGCCACTATTTACTGTGTCGACCAATAGGTATTTGTATCATAGAATTTTGTTATACAATCTTCAGAAAACGCCATAACAAAAGGTTCCTAGTTTGCAAGCCAAGTTTTAAAGGTGTCGGCGAAATAAAAGTACTTGTTTTATTGAAATAATGACAGAAACCACAGCGATGATAACGTAGGCCTATGAAAATAATATTTGCCTATAAATCTAACGCAACGAGGCATGTAATCGACTATGGACAACATGAAACATACATACATTTACGGGCAATACTTGACCTTCCAATCTATGAGTTTCACCGCCCTGTCATTTCTCCCCATCAGATCTAAAACAATTTCCAACCAAGAAGCCATCCAATTGATAAAGATACTAGTTCGAACTACTACGACAAACATCAATTACCCAGTCTGCAATATCAGCTTCAGCCGTGGACATAAGTGGGTTTGGGCGGCCCCTACCCGAGATTTTTTCTTTTAAGATGCTCTCCTGCCTTCATTTTCTTAAATAAGGGTATAATATTGTCTTTGGAAGGGCCCAGTTGTGAGACATTTTACCTTGTATGTACCTTTTAGTTACTTATTTCGGCACATTTTTTTCTGAGAGTGGGGCCCTTGGACTGGGTTCAACCAATCTCTGTAGTAGTTAAGCCACTGTCACCTACCAACTTAAAGATTAATCAGTTAAACCCACATGTTTGATATCTGTTTCCTAATATGGTAATTATAAAAAGCCGAAACCGTCATACAGTCCTATTCTAGGTTACGTAATCAAGCTGTGTTCAGCAATTAATTGCAGGAATTTAAATATTCTTTATCTTATTATCTCAGTTCTCAAAAAAATTTAGATGGTGGAATGAAAAATAATGCAATAACTTAACGCTGGTTTTGTGGTTTCTTCCTAAGCAATAAAGCTAATTATAGTTCAATATCCAGTAATTTACAGGTTAAGGAGTTTCCTCTTCATTTTTCATTTAAGATTCAATCTTTAAAAAGATTTTTTTAGGATGTACTTCCAGAAAATTACCTCAGTCTATTTCAGTTTAATCTAATTGAACATGAAGAGTTGAAATAATGGCGATATATCAATTAAAGAGATGTGTTGAATGTCGGTTTTGAATTACCGACGTAAACTTGGTGAGTAGCTATTTTATTAAATGGTGTTAAATCGACACGCTAAGGCCACATTGGTATCGTTCCTTCCCCAAATATGTGAAGCAAATGATATAATCATGAATACCATCAGGTCAAAGTCAGCCGAGTCAAAAACTGCACTTCTTGTCCTTAACTTTCTCCTTATTATGAATCTTCCTTTTTTCTGTTTCATTTTAACAGTAATACAAACACTGTATTACACAGGTCTCATTATATAGTGACTGTGTAGCGAAGCAGACCATGCATACTCTCTTTGAAACACCTTATGCCTCATGGTACGTTGGAGGAATTCAATACTATACAACTTTCACTCTCGATTTGGTCATACTTTGAACAAGAATTTCATTAACGGAATTGTCTTGCTTGTTCGGATTTCGGATTTCGGATATCAAAACAACTGAAAAAGGCGAGCATCAAGATATATGGAAAACCTGCGTCAAATTCTACTTTCTCTGTCGTAAGGTTAATGCGTTAAAGAAAATTGCCGCAAGCCCGGAATTCTAAATAAACAAGATTTTCCCATGTAAATATACAAACCCACGAGATTCTTTGAATCTGAGAAATGCCCAAGGTGGACTTTCGACGTCAATAAATGTATTGCGAACCATTAACTAACAAGAAAGATTACGTTTTGATGATTGTTGGAGGGGGTGGCATGCAATAAAAAAAATTTGGTTTAGCATTTAAAGTCGATTTACGTCTGATATCGGTTGTGCAACCAGATTCATTTTTGTGTACCCATCACATCTTATTAAATCAGTAAAAAGATTTATCGGTAAAACCAACATCTATAATTTACTGAACATGGGTCGTTTCATTACAATAGCATTTTTACTATCAAGAACAAAAATGATTGAAGTACATGTAGTCTATATGTGATGAAATATAAGTACATAATTGTTTTACAATTCTTCATATTTCAGTGATGCCAAGTCAACCAAGTACACGGCTGTCATCTAGATTTCAAACAAATACATCCTTTAGGTGTATAGTTTGAAATATAAGCATCATTACTTCACTGTTATGTTGGTAGTAAATTGAGTTTACAAGGTCTAGATTTCGTCTGATATCATTAACATAAGCTTGGTGTATATTAGTTAACATGGTTTACAGAATAGTATTTCATTACATCTCTTAAACAAGTTTTTAATGAATTTTCAATATTGGTTTCATTCTTGAACTGAGCTTATTTAATAGCATGTAATGGTACATACCTTAGCATTGATTATAGGAGGTGGATAGTCCAATCAAGCGTTATAAACAACCTTTTTCCTTTCTATTACCCTTTCAGAATCCTTGATTGATTGCATTACCGTCAACCACTTACTTGAAAGGCAATTCGAACAACGTGTGTTATGTACCTTGTTCCTTGTCTTAAATGTACGAAATCTTTGTTATAATTCATCAAAATTATGTGTAATTTTGTACAGGCTAATCATATAAACCTCAGCAATATTATTACAAAATTAACGACAATATAAGAATTGGCACAGGATGCAAATTATTCTGTACTGTAAACAACAAGTATACAAATATTGTAATTAAAACACTAAGTTATATGGATATTCTACTTAATAATTAATACAACGTTTCGAAACACATACAGGTAACGTTATCAAGTACAAGTGGTATACTGTGTAATTATGTGTTATTTTATTGTGTAGAGTAATGTGTAATTATATATACTTTCTTGGTGTGATTTGTAAGGTGTTATTATTTTTCCAATTCTAGGTGTGTCTAATTATCTGATTTTTTTTTTATGTTGTATGTAATGTGTTATTTTATAATTATGGTTACCTTTGCTTGTTATTCTGGGCTCTACTCATTTAAATTCGTGTGAATTAGATTTCTCTGACCTATTGGACACATGTTTCTCTCTGTCTGTGTGGATGTAAGCATTAATTAAATAGCTACAAACGATAATTTGTCAAGTAAATTAATCAAATTTAGACTAATAAATTTTGACATATAAAGTCTAACACCGGACGTGTATTATAGCACATGGGATGTACTAATTACATAAATCTAATAAAGAATCGACTAACTGTCACCTTACAGAGTTAAGGTAAATATGGACTTAACATTCATCAGCATAAAAAGTGAAAATCGATTTATAAAATAAAGATGTATCCTGATACATAAAACAGACTTATGAAATAATAAAAGCTAATAACCATGTCAATTGCTAGGTGGCTCATATTGATTGTCATACCAGCTTTTGGTTATGTTTTAAACCAACCTTTAAACGCACACATGGAATATAGGGTGTATAATGGCGTCACCCATCCACAATTGCTCGTAAACACACTGGAAGGCAAAATTCTTCACTGATTATGATGATTGGTGTTCATAATTACCCAAGGATGAACCCTATTGAAAATCAACAAAATCGAAAAATATTTAGTTCAATACGCGTTCAAATTTCAGCTCGTAAAAAATGTAGAAGACAAATTCTTCACGGATTTTAACGAAACTCCCTATGAGAGTCTTGAATCGCCCCAAAATTAATATGAGTTATTGCTCTTGTTCGTGAAAATGATCGTGAACACTCCAGAAGGCACAATGCTTGACGGATTTTGATGATACTTTGAGTGTTTATTATCACCCATCTATGAACCCTATTGTCACCATCAGCATGATACACGTAAGTTCTAGAAGTGGATCATTGGAAAAGGGAAGTTTTATGTCTTTCAATAAAACAAATTATATTTCTTACCTTTCTATTGATACCGCCGTTAAATTTAAAACTGACGCCAAGGCTGATAACATTTCTACATATCCCGATAATTTACATAAAAACGGTCCAATTTCCCAATGTCCTATAAAATATCTGGAAGTTTCAAATGGTACACATACCATTAGGTAAAGCAGATCTGCTATGGCCAAACTGACCATAAAAGATGCCGTTACACTTCTTGATTTTCTGTCACCTAACATGGCAAAAATTACTAAAGTATTTCCTATTAATCCGATGAGAAATGCCGCTCCATATATGGTGACAACTGGAATAAAGTGGGGTTCGTGAATCCATGGTTTTCGAAGGTTATCTAAATCACCTTCATAATAAAATTCATAATCACCGGTTCCAGTATTGTCGTAATAAGCTGCATCAGAATCCCCATACAAGAGATTTTTATCAGTCGAATTGTTACCACTGTCCAAAGACACATTTACATCAGTCAAAGTCATAGTGCTTCAATTATAACAACAGTTTGCGATTATCTTCCATTCGCTATAATTTGTAACGATCTTCGTATATCTATTCACTGAAATCATAAATCTTTCAAATATATTGGCAACTTCAACTTACACGAGTTCTGCACAACAGACCTGACCTGCTGAATATTTTACTTGAAATGCTTTATAGATGAGGTAGGCTTACGTTACTTATCCTCCCATAGGGCTATCGATTATGACATTCCATGTACAAATTTAAAGATTTTAAATTTTCCTCCTTATTAGATTTCATTACAGACATTAAAAATTTTAATCCAACAAATACGTCACAAATATATCATGAAATTTACTGCGATAGGCAAGAGCATTATATCGCATTTTAATAATTTGGTTAATTTCATTCTCGAGACATATTCTATCTCCACTAGATTTACTTTTAATACTACCAGAAATAAAAAATAGTTATAAATTCCTATATGAATCACATATATTCCAATTTAATTAGGACCATATTCGCATATGACCCGATTTTCCACAATAAATGTTTCAATGTGTTTCTTCGGAAACTTTTTTTATCGGACTCTGAAGTTTAGAAAAGTAACTGGCTTCCAATTGTAGTAGTAAGACTTCTATTCTCGATCGACTTGAATGATTAAGTTATCGTACAGCAGAAAAGAAGAAGCGTGGAAACCTATAAATTTATAGAAGAGAAGAGATCATCAGGTGGTTACAGCACTGCCTGATATTTCAATGTGTTGATATAAGCTATATAGTCACGAGATTCCAGCCTCAGGGCAAGTTTTAGTAGAAACTTGTAAGCACTAGATATATTTCAACTTTATTGCGTAAAAGCTATTCTATCTTCGTTTGTACTAATGAAATGGTTGGTGGTACTAGAAGTAATGATTGATTAATAGAACCACTAGGACCACTTTTCAAAAAATCACAAGAAGAGTCATAGATAATGAATTTTCAACGGGTTGTGTTTTAATGAAGTCCACACCTGCATATTGAGACGCATTATTGTGGAAATCGATGCATACTGTAATTGCTTATCATAACATAATGCGCTGTAAATCTCTTTGATAACTTAACTATTCCGTTCCTTCATAAACATTTCAACCAATCTGAACACTCTTTCAATCTTCCGCAGACAATGCATGTATTTAACATTAATATTCCATTGGCGTCTACTATATAGAGTTATATACCACGGTAACACATTCTACTGACTAGTACCATATTACTTATACACACGTGTTTCACATTTAACCACACCTTCACGAGTTGTAGTGTACCTGAAATGTATTGAATATCTAATTAATTTTAACCAGAAATATATTAGTTACTTCAATAAATTTAATATAAAGATTACAGACGACATATTTCAACTTTGGCTAAATGAGTTGTTGGTGTGTCATTTAACCGACTACTTCATATTTCAAAATCTGACAGCACTTTATAACACCAAGGAAAACATCCAGGAAGAACTTAAGTGATGCGATTGGTTAAACTTTGTACTTGTCTTTTTCCGTTTTATTTATCGCTTCAAACAAAAACTATGTCTTTCATAGTTGAAATTGTTTTTTTTCCAGAAGTAGGCGGATGAATTATTTTCGATTGTTGTGACGGTCAAAACCGAAACCTCATCATTCTCGCAATCCTTGAAAAAGGCTCAGTTTGGCAATAGCTTGGTCTGGGCCATACCATGGTCTTAACATGGCTCATCTATGTGTAGAGAGGGCAAGATCATCATAAAGGTGCAACCTTATGATAGTTTGTTCCATTTATACTTTGAAGAAACCTGTCCCGAAAAAGGCTTGCTTAACTATTTCTTGTATTACTTGTATCAAATCAGTTTGTATAAAATGAACACAATATGTATAGGATAAAACACGGATCAGATTTTTTATGATATTTAAACCCGCATCCCGAGAGATTGTTAATGTCATAAAAATGCAAGTGTTTTATCTGACTTATAAAGCGAAAAGTATTTTGAAACATTCAGTTATAATCAAATAAGGGGCACAACTCTTGCCTTCAGAACTAGGTCAGTTCATCAAGCTACGACGTCGACCAGTGAGTAAGACTATATGTTTACTCCTTAAAACTTCGGCGATTGCCATAGAAAAACCGAGACATGAATAATTCTTGCTATTCTGATTGCGTATGGTCTGGTGAACTCCGGAAAATTCACCCTTGATCCTGACCTTCCCAAAATGCCATTAAAAGCAGTTTCTACATCACCGAAAACCAAACCTAAGCTTGGTCGTTAACAATGCGAAAGTTACGTTAGATTTTAAGAAATACTTAATTCAAAAGTATTTCAGGACTGGTTTCATTGCTATATACAGTATATTTATGTCAAGCTGTGTGTGTCTTTTTAACTAAAATCATACTAATATCTAATTTCAACACAATTAAGAAGCTTATCTACTGCTCTGTGGCCTAGGCCAGTGCTTTCATTACACCCTCAATTCTAACTTGGGGAATATTTTTTGAAGCATCCTGAAATTTGACCTCACCTTCCCACTTGTGACGCGCTAATAGATCAAGATCATTAAGTTGTAAATAAGTTTAAACCTGGACAATTCTCATAATAAGTTGATTTTTCAAGACAGTAGGCAGACTCACCTTCTTAAAAATCCTCACAAATCGCTGATGCAAGATCAAATGTCCCCAAATAGCTTACCGCCTATTTGTTCTGTCTCTACACCAGCTGACATCTGTCCGATTAGCTATCAGAGGCTGGAATATATAGACAGATATTTCGGTTTAGAAATACTTATTTCAGGACAGTCATTGCTATATACAGTATATTATATGTTAGAGAGTGTCCATGTTTGTGTGTATGTCACTCGTCTCAATACACCATAACACTACTGTAAGAATAGATTTACGTCTAAATACGCCCCTGAATGTCAAATAGGCCTACTTATTAAAATCAATTTCAATCTTCGAAAATATTTTCATTACAGTCAGCTTAGTTCTTATAACGTACTCTTTTATCTTCAGACACGCATGGTAATACCATGTATAATTCTGTGATTTATAACAGGTGTGTTTCGAGCATGTCATTGGGTAACACACCTTGCATCAGTTCATCAGTGAAGGAGATCAATAAACTTTTCTACTTTATCTGACGATTCCGCCGCTTATTGTTTTCAGTCGTTGTAAATCCAGTTGCTCTTAGATTCTGTCAGACTCAAGATCGACCTTATCCCATATAGATATGAAAACAAATGCATTACACTTTGTATTACCGTAAAAGATCAGCTGTTTACAGAGTTCCCCAGTATTAGTAGTACAGATAAGCTTTAAAGATTGTAATACAACTCGTTTGTTACCTTCTATACAAGACATATTAATGTACCAATAAGCAAGAACCACATCTGTTATAAAATAACACATGGTTTTATCGTTCAACCCAATATAAAATAATTATTACACCAGAGAATTAGTTTTATTTCTAACCATTAGGTTACCACAGGTTACGGTTTCACCGGATTGACGTAACACTTTATTTGTTACATGCCAGTATAATGAAAGAGGATAATAATAATATATCAAAATAATAAATGAAATAATATTGTGTGACGCAGTTGTTAAACTTTTTTTTATATTGAATACTCTAAGTTGCGAGCAAAACAAAATTTTATCTGTTTTCAGCTTACTGTTCACATTTTGAACTAATGGATTATCATCTAGCTTTGGCAACTTGTTGTTTATTTCACGTATGTTTTGTGTGTGTGAAAATTTTAGTACGTTCGAAACGCTCTAACAGTTTAGATTGTCTACAGACTGGTGTTTCTACAACATTTTAACTCACAAATATAAGTATGGTTCATTACATCAGTTGAAAAGAAAGATATTTAGTATATACATGATTGGTTAACACTCTAACAAATTAGGAAATGTGACAGGAATAGGTGCCGATGTTGAAATTGGCCAATTGAATATTGTTAAGACTTCGAGAGAGGGACGATCACCAGGAAATTAGATCATAGATTAGACATAGTCTTTATACTAGGACATTATTTACAAAAAGTAAAATCAACATTCTAAAACATTTTAAAACCACAAAGCTTTGGTTGAATTGTTTTCATTGTACCAAAGACTTAGTAAAGAATTACTTTCAGCAGTGATTAATATATGTATATACCTTATAATTCAGTAACATGGACAGACTTCGGAAGCCTAATAAAATTCCATGAATATGACAGAACATAGAAACAATTAAAACAGTTTTGACAGCACATATTGTATTGTATTTATAGATCAGGTGTAAGTTCGTTGTAGGATTCGTATATACTAATAGGTGTACATTGAATTTGTATATATCTTTAAACACGAAACCTAGTTAAGATATCTCGGTCCTCGAGAACAGGGCAAAGAAATACGCCTGTATGACATAACATCAGATCAAAACTGGCGCCACTTTTTCGTTAAAGATTTCGAAAGTGTGTATTTTATGGTATATTAAATTGGATATTGCATCCAGATAGAGATTTTAAATGTTAACATCTCATATAACGGAACAAAATTTTCGGTCTATAAATAAATTGAGACAATGCCCGTCTACTTGATACAATGCTTTCAAAGCTTCATGATAATGTCGATATGATGTCAGTTAAGAAAACTTACTAACATAATAATATAGATGTCGACGACTATCAGAACCTTATATAAGGGTAATGTTTTAGCTGTCAAACATTCAGATGTGATTATTTCACAACATAGAAGCTGAAATCAGATCGTCACATCATAAAAAGAAACCCCAAAATGGATAAATACCATACAAATACTTTGTGTTTTTTTTTTTACTTAAGTTGCAGTCATAGACTTTACTAAAGTAATATCAAAGAAAGAATGAACAAAGAGAACAAATCGAATACATGTTCTAGTAGATGCCTTGGTATTTTCTATTCCGGCTTCACAGGAAATAGTGATCAAAGTCTTCAAGAAAAAAACAGCTTCCGTTAGCCGGTGATGGTAAATGTACTTTGCTATCTCGTTCAAATTAAAACTCAACTGCCTTTGATATAAACTAATCCTCGACCGTCGGTTATACTTGGCCTTAGATAGTTCAGAATATCTGAATGAGGAAGTTCTTCTATGGAAGGAAGTTTTCTATTATGCCATTAAAATTATTACAGGCGGTGGTTCACCGTGTTCTGGTGTTGATCGTACGTTGGTCTCAGATACAGGAATTGTACAACTAATCAGTAGTAATGAACTGATGGAAAAAGAAAAAAATCAAAAGTGAAATTCCTATGAGGAGATATTTTTGAAGAAATTTTCGTACAGTTTAGGTACATCCTCAAAAATATATTATAGAAAACAGCAGAATACAACTTGAAGGTAAAATGAACCAGATTTAGACAATCTAAAAATCTCAAATGTAGACCAAAATATATATAAGTCAATTACCCTGCCATGTTTTATAACAAAATTATGCAAAAAAACGACTTCGTTAAGGTTTATCGCGCATTATAAACATTAGCAAATTATTTTAAACCTAGAGCACGCACATCTATTTGAGTCTGTATAATTCCCTTAATTCCATAGAATTATTCTGAAACTAGTGAAAAAACAGCATTTTATAACGTTATGATATGCAGGGAAAAGGAATGGCGTTATTTTTTTGAAAAGTTGAAATTTGTCAGAATAATGATTATATATCACGTACTTGTAGAGGAAATCTGGAACCATCACGTACTCGGAAATTAAAATCCACCAAAGTCGACAAGGGAAAAAGTTTAATTGATTTTGGGTCAAAACATTTTGTGTTTAAGAAATCAAACAATTTGTTAGAAACGGGAAGGGAAGAAAATAACCAGGAAGACCATTAAGGAGTATCATTGATAAGCTGATCTCGTCATCAATAATCACAATTATTTTTCCAATCTATATGTTGGAATTTTAGTTCCCATGAACCTGTATCAAAAGTAACTAAAACTAATCTAAATCGAATTTCGAATTCTTTTTTTTTTCGTGTCAATTAAAATTAAAAAAATAACGTATAGAAAAGAACAAAAACTTACGAAATAATTGGTACGACTCAAATCTAAGAAATTATAGTGATCAATATAAAAATTGTGTATAGAAATCTTAAAGCACTAGTCTTTGCTTAGTAGAATTAGATTACAATTTCTTTTTATTATTTCTGATACTGATCATTATAACAAGTTTTTTTTTTATCACAGTCTCATGTAAAATGTTATCTTAATTAATCAAAGCGTGCCAATATCTTGAAAACCATGACCAATTTTATTGCGAGACAGTGAAACCGACTGAAGCTGCCATATTGTTATGTGGCCATCATTTACTGAATAGTATATACAATAGTCCTTCAATTAAAAAGTACTAACACTAAGTCTAAAATGAACGTATGGATTCTGAGATTTGGCGAAATATTGTTTTGCAAATCAATATATCTTTTTTTTTAATCTTCAAGTATTTACAAACGTTTTTTAAAACCGTTAAATGCAGAATCGCGAAAGTTGAACTCTTATCTAAATAATAAGTATACATGTACATATAAATCCGTGGTTTTAGACAATTCTGAAACGTAAATAATGTATGAAATGAGCAAACAACGATAACAGGACTAGACATCCACATTATATTGTAGGCATATAAAATCTTATCAATAATTATATTGGACTTTTGATTATAGATAATTTTTTGATCAGACATCTTAAAACCTTATCAAGAATACAATATCCATGATAAAGATTTTTAATTTTAATTTCAAACTGCAATTTGTGTAGAGAGAATGTTGCGTCTTTTCATATTAATTTGCTTCTTCTCCCAATCACTCGGGAAGGGAATGCTCTATCCGAGAAGTTCAGAAAGCAGAAAGATGCAGTATTTGGATGGAATGTGGGATTTTAGAGCAGACGACTCGCCAAGCAGAGATGCAGGTTTCAAAGAGAGCTGGCAAAATCAACCACTTTTCAAAACAGGTCCAGTGATTCCAATGGCAGTACCATCTAGCTACAATGACATAACAGCTGATAAAAATATACGAGATTTTGTAGGATGGGCTTGGTATGATACCGAATTCTTTATTTCTAAAGATTGGGCAAATCGTCGAATTGTTCTTAGATTTGACAGTGCACATTACTACTCTATTGTGTATGTAAATGGTCAACAAGCTATGACTCATGTTGGTGGACATCTGCCCTTCGAAACAGAAATTAATAACTTTATCAATGTGAATCAACCTAATCTCTTGACATTAGCGCTGAACAACACACTGAGTCCCACAACATTGCCACCGGGTACAATCAGTTATAAGAACGACACCAGTAAATATCCTGAAGGATACTTTGTTCAAAACCTTCAAATGGATTTCTTCAACTATGCTGGTATTCATAGACATGTACGCATCTACTCTACGCCCAAAACATATATTGATGACATAACTGTTACCCCTGATATCAATTTTAATCGTAATTTGGGAATTTTGAATTATGAAATCTTAACTGTTGGTGGAACTCCTGGGAAGCTGCTTGTGGAGTTGCTGGATAGAGAAGGTTCAGTTGTTGTATCTGAAACGGGAAATAAAGGATTTTTGTCTGTGAGTAGTCCTCATTTGTGGTGGCCCTATACTATGAACCTTCAAGATCCTGGATATCTGTATACAATGAAAGTGACTCTTCAAGGAAATGATTCAGATGTGTATAGACTTCCAGTGGGTATCCGAACTGTTAATGTCACTACGGATCAATTCCTTATCAACCATAAACCATTCTATTGCCACGGTGTCGACAAGCATGAGGATGCCGATATTAGAGGGAAAGGTTTGGATTATGCTTTGATTGCACGAGATTTTAGTATGTTGAAATGGTTAGGAGTGAATTGTTTTAGAACATCACACTACCCTTATGCTGAAGAAATACTTGATCAAGCTGATCAACAAGGTATAGTTATTATAGACGAGAGTCCAGGTGTAGGTATCAAGAGCAATAACCTTGGAAATGAATCACTAAACCATCATTTGGAAGTTATGTTAGAAATGTACCAAAGAGATAAGAATCGTCCTGGCGTTTGCATGTGGTCTGTAGCCAACGAACCAGAAAGTGATATTGATGAAGCTGTACCCTATTTTAAAAGTGTAATTGATTATACTAGAAAGTTAGATCCAACTCGACCAGTAAGCTTTACTTGTAGTCATGATTACAATAGTGATAAGGTGGTACCATTTGTAGATGTGATCATGATTAACAGATATTATGGGTGGTACAGTGATACCGGTCATCCAGAAGTCATTCAACTACATGTTAATTCCGATTTCAAAGAATGGAGAAAACTGTATAACAAACCGCTGCTAGTGTCAGAGTTCGGTGCGGGAACTGTTTCCGGGCTACATGCTGAGCCCAGTTCGGCATATACCGAGGATTACCAAGTTGATGTTCTTTCCCAGTATCATCAGGCATTCGATGAAAGCATAGGCAAATTTTTAGTAGGAGAGCTGATATGGAACTTCGCAGATTTCATGACTGCCCAAGGATCGAATAGGGTAAATGGCAATAAAAAGGGTATTTTAACTCGACAAAGACAACCGAAACCAGCTGCTCATTTGGTCAGAGCTCGGTATCATTCTATGTTTAATGCTACATTTATGTCTGAGAAAAGTTATTGTCCATTGAAATTTGGTTGTCATTAAATATTCTAGACTTTTCGTTTGTAGAATGTAATGATTATTTGGTTATGGTTACCTCTCGTAACCTTTCGTATTTATATTTGATTTCAATAACCAATTAAAAAAAAAAGATTTTATTATCGTAAAATGTTCATAATGTGTTTGTCTGAATTTATATACACAAGGGTTTCTCAGTAATTTTAAATAGTGTCTTCTTATAGTGCGGGGTATAATAGTTTCCAAATTTATCAAAAGGGACTGATTTCGGTCGGCTGAGATAATGTCCTTGAGGAAGATTATATCAGCCAGGGAAATTGTTGTTATAAAGTTTTAAAGATAATGCTCAATGCTATATTAGCTAGATATGCATCTCAAGAGTAAGGTATTGTTTAACCACTTGACAATAAGCATTGTGGAGGCCATTGTTAATTTTCTTTTACTTTTCTTACCCTATGTCATACACCAAAATATGTCCACAAATACGTGGCAATTTTTTTTGTGTCCAGTTAAACTTATTCTTAGTATAACCCCTGTATCACGACACTATACCAATAATTGCTTGTTAGGGCATGCCTCAAGTTATACTTTTTTACCTTTTCTGACGTCACAATAATATAATATCCGGTAAAACGAAATATTGGGAAACTGAACTGTTACACCAAGTTGCCAATTACAATAAACGCCTGCACACAAAATGTTATTATATTTGAATTTGTTGATGTTGTTTAGTTCCTTGATGTTTATGACATTTATATTGACAATAATAAACGCAATGATAGTGAGGCAAAAATATTACGGGGATATAGTTATTATACCCGTGAGCACATATTTAGCGACAACTTGTCTACAAAAAGGAAGGGGGAAAATATAGTAAACAAGGTCATTTCCTTAACCATAACCATGTCAACAGACTCAACTTCATTAAATTTTCAACGTAGTGATTATGTTTTGTTTTTTCACACTTAACCATAAACACAAATGTCTTGATTTTTATCAAGAAACTTGGTCAACTGGTTTCATCGGGTATTATCTAATAGATGATACCGATAGCATTCAATACTTAAATCACATAATATACAACTGCCTCTGTGGCTTACTAATGATAATACCTTTCGAAATTGTTCGAGGAAGTCATAGCGTATAATATTAAACAAACTCAATTTTAAAAAAACCATTGATAATTTCAGAAGCATCTCTTTCTATTCTAGATAAGTCTATCTTCTGAAGTTTTTACGATTGCCTGTCACTATTCGTATTGGAATGGAGAGTGGTGAATATGACTTCCTGCTTTTTTTAAGTAGAGATCTCTTGATATCACTGAACTGTCTGCAGATTTTCTCAACCGACTAAACCAAGGGGCAAAATAATTGTAGTAAGCATGAATAGGAGGCATTTTTGTTTAATACTTGACTCTACTTTTACTTGATTGTCAACAAAATTACACTGTATACGAAATTTCACATTCTTTCTTAAACCAAATACAAATAAGTACAGTTTGTTTTATATAAATAACTGAAATCCCATCACGTAATGCACCCTTTATAAAGAGTCAGACGTTACAATTCTCCATGACATTTGATAACCCATTACAAAATTTGAATTCAAAAAGCAAATTATAGTTATTAATTAGACAGGGACTTTGGTTTGTGTGTCATGAGTAATATCTGGTAGATCCGGAGGGGTGGCCTCATCCCCACCTTGCCACTGACATAATAAGAGAGAAGCTGTATTGTCAAGGATTGCTAGCAACTAATGACATACGTGGCAATTTTCAGCTTAAGCTACAGATGCAATGAGGTTCTTTGAATTGCTAGTCGATTCCAGCCTACTTTTGAAAAATTGCAGTAATCATACAATGCAGAACATATGTATTAGGTATACATGTATATATCCTTACCTTCCAAAAAAGTCAGTAAATATTATTTTGCAACAAAACTCGGTAGATGTTAGAAGGTGTCAATGCTATGGTCAACACATTCCTATTACTAGCATATACAAAACAGTAAAACCATACCACAATCGTTGTTTGAACATTCCAATCCGTTTCTCATTTATATGTCGTTTTGTCGTATGGTGACAAGGTGGCAATCTCTAAGTAGTCCAAATTTAAGTAAGAAACGTTTACAATTCGTCATCTGTAAACATTTAACTGTTATATTTACCGTGCTAAAACCATCAACCCCTGAGGTTAGCCAAGTCAAAACATTTCCTATATAAAAAAGCTGGGATGGTTTTCTAGCTGATTCTGGACGATTTTCACTGCGCTAGCAAAAACACCAGTTTCATAAATATATATTGGGTCGCCATCAACACTAACGATTTTATTCTGAAAACGAAGACTTCACAATGAGTGGATACTTCAAAGTACACATCTGAAAATTACAAATTGTCATTAAATAATGTACATTATAAACCACTATTATTATAAAATAACCATCTCAACAGTTCAGCAGCAATTTTGAAAGGATTTCCTTTGTGTTAACACGGGCGAAAACTAACGTCCACTATATAATAAAAGCCTTAAGGCCTGCTTGTTCATTGTTCGTTGATATCAAAATGAACAGACATAATGAAATGGACTTGTACCCTTCTTGTAAACAATTTCCTTTTTATCTTCTTTACTATGATAGATCACCCATATTTTCATATTCTAAATGTGAAGCATGGCTGATCAGTGACCTTAACAAGGATGTTTCCGCATTATTATGCTTCTAAGCGCCTGGTTATAATGTGGCGGGCTAGCCCGTTGAACCGAGCTGGCTCGGTATTCCGGGTAACTCGGGTCTGACGTCACTCTAGTCAATTTGTACGGATTTACGCAAATGCATTTATATGGAAAGCGGCCAACCCGGTATTCATATAAACACGTTTTTACGGGCTAGCCGCGATCCTGAGTCACAGGACACTTTTATAAACCAATATGACTATTAAACGTGATATAATACGGATGGAGTAATGTCTGAGTTGCTTCGATACATTTTTGAACAAAAGCCAAATTTGTTTATTTATTTCGTAATTGGTCGCTAGATATTATATTGTGCCACCCACTGGTCAATCCGTCCATTTCGCTGCCAAATATTTCTTTTGCATGATAATCGACCAATACGACTCCTCTTTAATCTTCATTGTCCAAGTACCAAAGAATTAAGCATAAGCAGTGTTCTGAATATATCTGTATTTCTTGTATGATCAGATTATGTCGGACTATTGCTTAGCATGGAGAATTTAATCGTGTTCTGAAGCGGAAATCATTGCTTAGCCAATCAGAAATAGCACTTGCATTACGTCATTTATTAGTCGATCAGCCACATATTTTCATTTTCATTCATAATCATCATTCATCGTTCATATTTAAGTCGTAGTGACCTAACATCACTTTAGGGCAGGAGGAACACCATTTCCAGGTATTATATTGATGAATTAAGCATTTATACGCATCTATAATGTATCGGTTTATACATAATATCATTTTAAGTAAGAATGAACTAGAAATTAGCTTCCCGGTCCCGGTCAAGTGCAATAGTCCTGTCCAATATTTTAAGTCTCATATTTATGTCCATGTCATATTATTGCCCATTTATTATTAAGGTCTATATTGTGTCAATTTACTATATTTTTAGTCATTATGCTCATATTTTATGTCATATTAGTAGTTTAGACTGTCTCCCTTTAGCATCGTCTGCTATTTTGAGACTGTAAGTCATACAAGCTACTGTGCTATTTTAGTGTCATATTAGTCTGTCAGTGTCTTATTATTTGCCATATATGTCATTTCAGAATATAAACTAGTGTCCAAAAGAAACGATACCACCTGTTTGCAACGACATAAAAGAAAAACTAAACAATGCAGAAGTTTAGGATTGGTGTTATACTTTTGAGGAATCCTTTCACAACATCTGTACAAAAATTTCATTTCGATAAAATCTGTACAACCAATATGACAAGCCTTTAAAGATGGGTGGGGTCGAACATTTCGTTAGAGCACTGATCACAGAAACAACGGGAAATGTCACACCACACGTCACAAAGTCAAGTCAGTAGCGGGTATGTCCACCGTGAGCATCAATACATGCCAGAACACGCCTACGGACTGATGCCGTCAAACGTCTGATGACGTTGGGAGTGATGCGTTGCCATTCCTCGAGGAGACATCGTTCCAAGTCTGGAAGGTTGACTGGAGGCACACGGCGACGTCGGATTTGCCGATCGAGGTGGTCCCATAAGTGCTAGATGGGATTCATGTCAGGTGAACATGCGGGCCATGGCAAAACCTTTACGTTGGCGTTGGCAAGGAAGTTCTGTGTCAATCTTGCTGTGTGTGGCCTTGCATTGTCATGTTGGAAAAGGAGTCCATGAGGCTGTTGCTGAATAAAGGGCACCACAACAGGCCGTAGGATGTCATCAATATAACGCTGTGCATTCAGGTTTCCACGAATTACGACAAGCCTCGTTTTGACGTCACCACATATGCCATCCCAAACCATTAACCCTCCACCTCCAAAAGGCCGGACCTGTTGGATACAGTTAGGCGCCAAATCGTCGGCATACAAGCTGCCGTCCATCGTTTTTGAAGATGAGGAATCTGCTCTCATCAGAGAACATAACACGTGCCCAGTCCCGCCGTTGCCAACGTCGAACTCGCCTGGCCCAGATCAGTCTGTTGTTACGGTGTCGAGGCGTCAGGAGCGGTCCGCGGTAGGGATGACGTGGTCGGATACCATACTGCCGTAGTCTCCTGTAGACGGTCTGTCGACTGATCCTGTGTCCCAGTGCTGTAGCCGCCGTGGTCGTCGCTGTTACGGTGCGGTTCCTCAGGTGTAATACTCGGATGTAACGATCTTCACGGGGCGTGATTACTCGTGGTCTTCCACTCCTGGGCCTGTCTGACGTCTGACCTGTCTGACGTAACCGCTGCATCAACGTCGTGATAGTGATGCGTGCGCAGCCCAACCTTCTGGCGACGTCGACGTGTGTCGCTCCTTGTTGGACCATTCCAACGGCTCGCTCTCTCTCGATGGCTGTCA